GGGGGGTGGTGGGAGTGGGTGTGCTGGGATGTCTTCGTTATTTTCTTCTAATATTCCAGTTCCTATTTCTGCAGGGACTCACAGTTCTCCTACAGGGCTTATCTCCATCAATGCTGCCACGTTAATCCCTTTCAAGTTATCAAAGGGTGGCAACTATGCGTCCTGGTGGGCTCAATTTTCTAATCTCTTATTTGGATACGACTTGCTAGGCTACATTGACGGCTCTTTCAGTTGTCCGCCAGCCATGCTCAACATCCCCAGAGAACCTAGTCCAGTACCTGATCTAGCTCACAAACTATGGCTGCGTCAAGATCGTCTCATCCTCCAAGCTATTCAAGCCTTAGTTGCTGGATCTGTCGCTCCATTGATTTATGTATGTGTGACTGCTGCCAATGTGTGGTCTAAACTGTAAATAACCTTAGTGAATCATTCACGTACTCGCAAGCTCAATCTTCTCTCCAAGCTAATGGTGACCAAACAAGAGGGAAGTACTATAATTGATTATTTACAAAATATCAAACTTATCATCGATGACTTAGCTTTGATAGGTCATTCCCTATATGATGAGGAGATCATCATCCATACCCTAAATGGTCTTGGAGACGACTACAAGGAATTGGCAGCTGCAATTCGGACACACGACTCACCAGTCTCCTTTAAAGAACTTTATGATAAGTTGATTGACTATGAGATATATTTGAAGCCTATGGACAAACTGCCCGGACCGTCTATCACAGCTCAAGTGAGTCATAAGTCTAAGAGGAAGAACACTCGATACCCTCCGAATATCACCAAAGGTATTCTTGATCCTATGGGGGCCATGCAACGCCCCCCTTATCCTCCTAATCATAACTTCTCGTAAAGTCACAACTCCAAAACTCATCCGCCTTAACATCCTGTCCCTTCAAGCCAACAACGACGGATCGTCTGCCAGCTGTGTGATAAAATCGGATACTCCGCTAAAGTTTGTCGGTCTCGACCCCGCCTTCCTGCTCCGTCACACTGGCCTCAGGCAAATCACCTCACTACTCTGACGACTAGCCAGCCCAACTGGATTATGAACTCTGACACCTTCCATCACATCACCCTGCTATCAATCATCACATCCCATCGTTGGAATCGCATAGTGCACAGTCGATATTAGACAGCAAACATATCAAAAACTTGGAACATATGTTTCTAAAACTGAGACGAACGATACAACAACGTTGACAAGTCGTACTGTCTTTTTAACCGCATGGGTTGTCGTGGCAATCACTCGTATGGAGGTGCGAGAACTCGAATGCTTTCAAGAACTGTCGTAGATGACTATGGCTACCCTCCCTGTCTTTCTCTGTTTTTGTCGAGCCTCATACGAGATTATATTTGTAATAAAGTAAAAATTTTTTTTATTGTTCTGGTAAAAGCTCCTCATTTTATTCTGTGTCAGAGCTGTACCCAAATGTTTTCATAATGTTGCAAATCTACCACAAATATTGGTGACCAAAGTAAAATTGATCTGTTGCTTGAAATATTTGAGAAGAACAAGTGTGTGAATGGAAGCTGAAAATTCTAGAATGATCAGAAATCACCATCATAATTTGGATGCACTCATCATAATTTGAGATTCAAAGAATCAAATTAACGCACATACACTATGATCCTGAAATATATGGCTAAGTATGTAGTAATGTCAAGATCCAAATGTGATATATTGTCTTGGAGAAGTTATTTAGTAGATGAAGCAAAAAAGTTCAATCCCATAGTTTATAAGCTCCACTAATCCGTATATGGTATACACTTGACATTTTCCAACACTAGCAAAATATAAATTGATCATGAGAAATGTATTGGAATCAATATAATGAGCATAATGATATTAAAAATAATCAGATCAAAGCTTTTATTTATAATCATATTGGATAAGGATCTGTTCTTAAGTGATCCCTTGAATTATCACATCCAATTGGATTCAAATCAACATGAAAATGGACCATACAAGCAACAATGACACACTAATGTAGTACCAAACCTGAGAACTCTCTTAGAAACTAACAATGCTAGTATCTTGGATATCCTTAATGGAGTTATTAAAGATTTTATGAGTACATAGAATGCAAACCAACTTACAACTAGAACGATTAAAGAAGGATAACAGAAATTAGCAGTTTGCATACGTATGATCTAATGAAGTGAGAAACACTTACTGTGGATGTAGTAATCTCATTCCACTGAGGCTCTTCAAGTGTCGATTGAAGATATTTCATGGAAAATTACAATATTGATCATCATCCCTCAACAAATGTAGGAAGCTCCGAGGAATATTTAGAGGAATTGAACACTTCACTGTTAATGAAAAGGTCTCATCCTCGATCCCATTATAAGCATAGACAACAGCAATACTTTGTCAGTGTAGGCCTTCAGCCATTTCATGTTCTAGAGTCAGAATTCTTTTGGTGAAACCTGCTCAGGCTCGTTCGCGCAAGTGCCTCCCCAAATAAGGATGCCTTTGTTGATCTCAATATGCCAACTTCAACATAATCTCCAATCTCTGGATTTCGCTTCCCATCTGTTTCAAATGAGTGTGGCAGAGGGACATTAAGAAAGGAGACCTTGTGGCCTCTATCACTCCTTCCAACCAGTTCTGATTCAGGTGCTCTCTTATTGGGTCCCTCGACTAAAACAAGCTGGACAGTTCCTACTTGAGATTCATACCTCTGCACTGTGCATTCACGGAAGGTGTCAATAAGTTCTCTCAGCCTCCTCTGTTTGACATTATCAGGAACATCATCCATGTAGTTCCTGTGGGCATGAGTTCTTTCTCTCATGCTATAAGCAAACATGTATGCCATATCATATCCAACAGACTTCACAAGGCTTAGGGTGTCAGCATGTTCTTCTTCTGTTTCTCCACAAAAGCCTGTTAAAGGGTCTAAGGACTTTAGTGCTGGAAAAAAAGACTATTCTACAATAAGAGGGCAGGCAGTTAAGAAAGAAGCAATAAGCTTGTAACAACTATCAACAGAACAGATTCTGACTTGTATGATGGTGATGCTAATGACAACTACCAGCAAACAGAAAACACAAAGATATCTCTGTGAAAATAATATGCATCAACTTCAGATATTGATAGTATCACTTGCTAGACTGATATTTGGGTAAATAGCAGCAGCAATCACATTAGCAAATTGTAGCAGATCAGACGAGTAAACTTTTAAAGCTGATGCATGTTACTATCACTGGATGGATGTTTCTGTGTTAGTGTTTGCTTCTAATTGTCATTAGCATTACCGTCCAAGTCCAAGCCTTTCTAGCGTTAGGTTAAAACAAACAGATTGAGAAGGCTTAAAGATAGAATTTTCGTGAAATCTGTATAACAAAGTGACATTCGAGAACTAGTGTCAAAAAGATTTTTTAGTTGGACTAGAAAATGGATTGGAAATAAACTTAGAATTCCAACAGCTAGTAAAGACTGACTTACTTAAAAGTCAAGCTCATGAAAAAAGGGAGGCAAAACTCCAATATTTTACTTACACATGTAGGCATTGAATAGGCAGAAAGGAAATACTTCACAAAAAGGAGATAAAGTTCATGTAAGAGGCAGAAACAACCAAGAGTGAAAGAAAAACAAACCAAATAACTAAAGCCAGCTCTATAGTCTACCTGGGAATTTCAGGAGTACCCAAGAAGGCTATAGAATCAGCATATCTTACCATCCTTCAAAGCAAATGTTGGATTAGTTTATAGATGGGAAGGCTTACTTAAAATAATAAATTATATTAGAAAATCAATCCATATCTCCTTATTGGATGAGGAATTTCATGATATAGAGAAAATGTAACGTTGACTTACCAACTGGATTGCATATCCCATATGGGCTTGCTGATTCAAGTAATTTTCTGATAAAGCTCCTAACGTTGGAAAATTGGACGTAGAAAATTTAAGTGATGTTGTTCAAACAATGCATTTTGCAGGATTCTCTGCCATGAATGACAAAAGATACAAAGACATGGCAAGCAAGAAAAGAATGACATATTATGAATGTTTTGTACAATATTCTGTAGCCGGTCTTTTAAACATTTTCTAGGATCAGAAGGAACCACTAGAATGACCACTATGTGTGTTTTTTACATAATTTGGTGTTCACTATATCTTTAAAGAAAGCTGGAGCTAACCAAGTTAAGCAACAGAGTTTTCAATCAAGAAAGAAGAAAGTACATAGGCACAAAAACATTTGACATACGTACCCAAGCATGATGTAAAATAGTCGCTTAATGACCAAGGGAACATGGAATCCCACAGCAACATTAATGATTTTACACTGACACAACAATGGATGATAGATTATAAAGATACATTGAAGGTCCTTGTTATCTTCCAAATGAGCTGAATGTCATTTGCTTTGAAGTATGTTAGAGGTAAGAACAAACAAAGCACTAGATAAGAGGAGAAAGCAAAAACTCATGCATACCAATAGATACCCAAGAGGTTGATTTTTATGATCTCTCCAAACCATTCTGCCTTATAAAATAAGATAAATAAGGAAAAGCACTTTTCCAAGAGGTTGAATTTTTTGGTCTCTCCTTGAGAAAAGCATGCTCCCAAATCCAAATTTGTCATACATCGTCGACATCTAGACTATTCCCATGTCTAGAGGTGTTTTGAATAGTCAGTTATTGGCCAGTGCATTTATTAAAAACAATCATACATCATATACTTTTCCACACATCAACATAAGTTTTCACTGAGTCCAATTTCCTAAATATGCAATGGTAGATACCTGACAAAGTTATCAAAAGATTATAAACTAATACCAAGATGCAATACCAGGATCAAAACTGGATTGGTTTCTTGGATCCAACATTGAGATTGATGGGATCAACTGGATCAGCCAAACATAATCAAGGGATTAGGATCGATCAAGAAAGTAATTTCAAAACCAAAAAACAAAAAATAAATAAATAAAATGTTGTGTTCATTACCAAATTATAATGTTGTTTAGAGAAAAAAAATACTTTAGATTTATTAGTAAGTTTGGTGTTATTTATATATGAATCATAAGAGCATATTATAGACTCCAGAATTCACCATATTCACACATTTCAATACACATACCAAATCTCCCCCACCCCCCCAATCCCCAACAGAAAAAAGCAAAAAATAAAAATTGGTACCCCTTTTTCTTTTCTCCTGCTCTCTCTCCCATCTTTCTAATCATCTCTCAGACTTGCGCTACATCCACTGTCAACCAACCAGTGGAAAGCAGTGATAGCACCTCCATATGCAGCCAATGATATTAGGGTCTACATGGCAGCAGACTTAGCTAGAACTTGCCACTAAGTTAGATCAGAGGGCTACAACTGTACTAGTTGTCTGCTAATGATCACCAATAAATTTGTTGGTGATCCTACAATAACTCAAGATCAACCAAAATCAAAGAGCGACTAAGGGATCCCCATCTGAAATGACCATATTGGATGAAGCAAAAGTGATCTGAGTCATCTGAAAAATAATAATAATACTAAAAATATTACCTAGAACCAATACAGATTAATTTTTTCAAAAATATGAAATAGTCTGCACAATTAGCACAATAACAACATCTAAGTGATAAAAATAAACATCACCATGATTTTGAGATCTCTTAGATGTTTGATTGCAGAACCATAAAGCATAAATAACATATTAAAACAAAATAACATCATACCAAGTAATTAAAAATATGGAAACTTACCACAAATGAAGTCACTACTTAGTCCAACATCTGGAATGATGCCTCTTATTTTCTGTACAAGGTCCAAGTATGCCTCCCTGGTGTAACCTCGGCGCATTCTCTCGAGAACTGTTGAGCTCCCTGTTTGAGCAGGCAGATGAATGTTTTTGCAAATATTATATTTATCCTTCATGAGAAATAACAAATCATCTGGAAAATCCTTGGGATGAGGGGAAGTGAATCGAAACCGCATCTCTGGAAATTCAGTAGAGAGTCGATCTAAGAGATCAGAAAAGCGCAAGCCCATATTCTTCACTTTGCACATGCTGGAGAATCCTTCACTGAGTCTCCAATTTGCTCCTGGTTCCAGATCACTGAGCTCAGAAACATCATTGTAACTGTTCACATTCTGACCAAGGAACATTACTTCCTTCACACCCTCCTTCCAGAGCTCACCTACTTCTCTGACAATTGATGAGACTGGACGAGACCTCTCTCTACCTCTAGTGAATGGAACAATGCAAAATGAACACATATTGTTGCAACCCCTCATTATCGAGACAAATGCAGTAACTGAATTGGTCGAGATCCTAACTGGACTAACATCAGCATAAGTTTCTTCAAGAGAAAGCAGGGTATTAATTCCTTTGTGCCCATAGTCAACCTCATCCAGCAAACGTGGTAGATCTCTATAAGCATCTGGTCCACAGACTACATCTACCATCTTATCTGCATCAAGTATTTTCTCTTTCAACCTCTCAGCCATACATCCTAGAACAGCTATTTTTGGAGGGTGTGTAGATTGTGACCTTCCCACAGCAACATTGCTCTTCCATTCCCTTTTTAGAAACCAGAAGTAGTTGAGTCTCTGCCAAACCTTTTGCTCCGCATTGTCTCGGATAGCACAGGTGTTGATGAATATAATCTCTGCATTCTCAGGTTCCTTCACGACTTCCTCATACCCAGCATTTTTCATGATAGATAGCACAATCTCCATGTCATTTACATTCATTTGGCATCCGTATGTTTCATGGTAAATGCGCTGCCCCCTACTGATAATTTGAGAAGTTGATACTGGACTACATATATGAAAAAGGTAAATAATGTCAGTAAAATTTCTTAAGTTGGCTAAATCAAGCACATCAAAATAATGTAACCAAGCAAGAGAAGTACTCCGACAGCTAATGCACTGGGATTAACTCAGATTACATAGTTTACAGAAAGAAATTAGAGTACATCCGCCCCCCGCCCCCCGCCCCCCACTAGTTGTATGTTGTACACGAACTTAGACTGCAACAGAAACAACTTTAGACATGGTTAATCAATACATGCAAAAAGCTCAGAAGCCACAAAGCTTAGAACCATTATGGTTCTCTCCAGTAAAAACAATAGAAGGAAATATCTAATTTTTCTCTGTGTAGAATCACAACCGGACCCTGCCATCTCTATCTCCTCCCGTCCTAACCTATTATGTTCTCTGTCCCAGCAAGCAGAAAAGAGGTTTATTTCTCTTCATAGGATTATGGCACAAGATACAATTTTGTGCAATAACATGACTCAGCATGTTGCCTCCTATTAAAAGCAATCATACTAAAACCACACAAATAATCTCCATATAAACCCAATATAATAACGTGTCATGTAACCTATCGCAACAGGGCATTTTCAAACAACCATCCTCATCAAGCAGATAAGTTATGGCTACTGATGGGACAGGAAAGGAGAGCATACTCTTGTTGGACATCAGCGGTGGCGGCAGCAGCGGTCGCTGCGTGGCGAACGAAGCCGCGGCGAGAGCTCAGGTAAGGGCTGGAATTGGAGACGAGGGCAAAGATGGAAACAGCCGTGCGGCACTGGAAGAAGCATGGGGGAAGAAGGGGAGAAGGAGGAGGAAGAGGAGGCGGAGGGGAGGAGACGGAGGAGCGGAGGCAAGGTCTGGACATAGCTGCGAGTGGGCAGGGAGGCAAACGGCGGAGGTTGATGCAGAGGGTAGCAGTGTGGTGGTGAGGTTGGCTCTTCCAGAAAGCGGCGAGAGGAGAAAGAGGAGACGCCATCCGCGGCGGCGGCCACTGCTGCAGCGGCAGAGAGATGGATAGGAGACCGAACCGGATGGGATTGGATGCGAAAGCCACGTCCAGGGTGAGTTGGGCCCGAATTAACTTGGCCTGACTCGGTGGGTGTCCAGGGTGAGTTGGGCCAAAAGTGTCGGGACACCTGTGTCTAGCGTACTGATCGGGATCGGGATCGGGATCCGGGTTGAGTTGGGCCGAGTCAAGTCGGGATGAAATTGTTCACGCCGTGGTCCGGCTCCACATAACGGGTCGGATTTTGCCGTCTACGTCCAGCAGCAGTTCGGATGTTAAGTGGGTGCTGATGTGAACAATATATATGCATTTATCATGTGTTCGTAAAACTTATCAAAATATCGGAAGATGTGAGTATATTGGTATAATGTATGCTTCATTTTCTTACTTGTCACATTTATATTATATTTTTTTCTATGAGAAATATGATTGATTTCAAGAATGTCCGTAAATAGTGGTGTTCAACTGGTTGATTTTTCTTTTCTTTTGGTTTTTCTCTTTTGTGCTTGATTGTAAGATTTTGTTTTTAAATTTGTATCTAACTATATCTTGCATACTTTATGAGAATATATATAATAAATTTTAAAAAAAAATTCTAGCATTGAAATTCTCATACAACACTCCCGATTCTAAAAAATTTTATAAGATTTTTTTTTTTAAAGATGATTTTATCCTCATCTTTACTGGCTGTCATTGTTGAGTCTTTGCCCTTGGTCGCCTTTGCACATAAGCTCTATCACCATCCATCTATCACTTTTATCCACCCATGGCTACATAAGCCTTCACAGTTGGTTGCTGGTTGCTTCCATCTTTATCTCATTGCTCCAACCCACATCGCCTATTGTCCTCATGCTATCATCGTCGTCATTAATCTTGATTGAGAAGGCTACGGGCAAGAACAATAATGATGATAAAGGAAAAGAAAAATAAAGAGGAGGGTCGTAGTGCAAGGTACAGGCAAGGATGGTGAATCGAGACAAAGACAACGACCAATGGAGCATGGGGGTAATAGAGTGAAGGCAGAGGACAACGTGACCAAGGAAAGGGATAAAATTATCATTTAGAAAAGATGTTCTACAAGAATTTTTTTAAACTAAGAGTTTTTTTTCGAATATATATATACATATATACATATATATATATATACATATATACA